CAACTGAAGTATAGATTAAATTCCAGGAATTCATTTATAAACAAAAGTAAAAACTTGAATAATGCATGCCTAATCTGTGTGAATAAAGAATCGTGCCACCAGGGCGACTTCCAGGAATCAGACTAATCCCTGGAGCAAAACTTGCAGAAGTAGTGGAAGCCACTAATGTTCATAAAAACTTACATTTTGATTTGTTAACCTCTTCATTGATGAGGGGTATCCATATGGTAGAAATATCCAAACTGGGTTGGCTGTTTGGATTGGTTGAACATGTCATGTGAGCTGATTCTTTGTACTTTACGTATCTGCTGTATCTACAGACCGGGGTTTGTCCAGTGATTGAGACTAGTTCTTTCTAATGGGCCCAACTGAGTAGGTTTATCCTGCCCTACCCACCTGAGGACAGAGACAGATCCAGTCTCCGAGACGTGGTTTTTTGTCTTTTACATACCAGACGATGGATGAAGTCCAAAAGAAGTGATGTTTTAAGTTTTCTTTACAACTGCTCAGGAAAGAATAACTCAGAAACAATGACATAAGGAACTGCATGACTTGTACCCTCACAAATCTCTGGACTGAATTTCACTACATGACTAACAGTTTACATTTTTGCATTGTCTGAATTCCAGGAGCAGTATACAATTTGTATGGGAGCAAACTTAGAAAGCTTTGAGATTTTTGCAGTGCTTTAATTCCAACCACAAAAAGCTAATTTGCAAACAGCTGAGACTTTTTGCAGTGCCTGAATTCTAGGAGCAGTGCACAATTTGTATGGTAGCAAATTTACAAACAGCTGAGATTTCTGTGACGCTTCAATTGCAGCAGCAGCAGCAGCACATAATTTGAATGGAATAGAACTTTACAAACAGTTGATGTTTCTAGAGTGTTTAAATTCTGAGAGCAATATACAATTCGTATAGAAGCAAACTTACAAATGGTTGAGACTGTTTAGAGTATCTGAATTTCGACAGCAGTATAGTGTTTGTATGGAAACAAATTTATAAACAGTAAAGTATGCGGCCTTCTGTATGGTAATGTTATGCAGTTTAGAAACAGCCCAATGTTTCAGGTGACTACACTGTTCCTATTTTCAGGGTGAAAGAGTAAGCCAAGAATGAAATCAGAAGAAGCGGGCAGCTTGCTTCCCTACTTCTACTGGATTCTTGCTTGGCTTACTTTTCAACCCTGAAGACAGAGGCAGTGTGATCCTCCAAACTACACAGCACTACAAGCTAGAAGACTGCATTCTTCACAGTCGCCATGAGAACCTCCAATCCAACTAAACTTATAGGAAGTTGGAATTTTTGCACTGTTTGATTTTTAACAGTCATACACAATTTTCATGGAAGTGAACTTACCAAAATTTATGACATCAAATATTTTAAGTGATTTATCACTGGAGATTGAGCAAAGGAGTGTTCCACTTGAATTGGCTGCAAGATCTTGGATTGGTCCAAGATGGCTACAGAAGTGCTTCACAAATTCTATCAGCTCCTCTAGTTTCTTCCAGAATTTTATGTGACCATCACAACTTCCTGTGATAATGAAGTCAGTTCTGTGGGGGAAAAAGAACAAGGTGGTTTGTTTAAGAATACATGTTACCACTGAGGATGGAGATTGGTATACAGTAGACTCCTGACTACTTAGGGTGGATGGGAAATGAACTACCCCAGGAAATTGGAAACCATGGATAATTAGTAAAAGGAGTATTATTATTATTATTGGAGGGGGTGGGTTTCCCCATGCACTTAGACCAGTTATTGGTCCATTATGCGTTCCCCTTTAATTTCTATTGTCCCCATACCCTACTGGCAGATGGTGCATGCTATCAGCCCCGTTGAGCCAACGAGGTCAGCCCTTGGTACCTTGATACTTCCCCCATCTACCAGAGGCATTGGAAACTACTTGGGCGGGAAAGTTTTTACTTAATAATTTTGCTCAGAGGTCTCCTAGAGACATGAGGTTCTTTTACATGCTGTAAATCTATGACACGGGACCCACGGCTTAAAGTCCCTCCCGGAGGACCTGTTCCCTGAATTTTTCCACCCTTAAAAATTCCATGACCTCTGCCGGGTTTGAACCCTCATACCTCGAGTCATGAGGTGGGAACGTTACCCCTAGACTACGGAGGCCGCTTGTAAAAGGAGTAACTAACTAAATTGGGAACTGGGATTTATAATATGACACAGGCATCTGTAGGTGCATTTTACTAGAATGCTACCGGTAGAAACATGAGTGTCATTTCTGAAAAGCTCCTGTGTCATTCTTACACAATGAAATTCCAATTATATTACAGTATCCTGTTACACTGTATAGATCTGACTTTGGAGTTTTTATGCCATCTATGTGCAATGTCATTCACTATTCTTTCTTTTGCATTCTGTTATTGGAAACTGCACGTTTCAGCCTAACTGGCCATCTTCAGGCATACAGGTTAAGGATTCTGCTACTCACTGTAATGTGGTTTTCTTTCCTTCTACTGTAGTTACCTCTGGTTATTTGGTTATGTGGGTTACCATCAGTTTTTATTTGGGTGTCCTTGGGTTGCACATGGTTGCTTTTCTGTAATATGTGATGCATTATGTTAAAACTATTTGGATAGCGGTACACAACACACTGCACACCCGATGTAGTAATATAACTGATGTCACGAAAACACCCACAAAGAATGACTATGATGGCTGACCAACACCCAACAGAATTCCAGCCCCAGCAAGAACATTCAAGGCAGCCACAACCAACAAATCAAACAAAACCATAAGTAACATCATATATACAATAACTGAATATATATATAAACCTTTAAGATGCTCTACCATAGAGCATCACATATTACAGAAAAGAACCCACGTGCAACCCAAGGACACCCAAATAAAAAATGACGGCCACCCACATAACCAAATAACCAGAGGCAACTACAGTAGGAGAAAAGAAAACTGTATTACAGTGAGCAGCAGAATTCTTAACTATAACAGCCTGTTATGGTTATGTTTATATTTTTTAATTCCATTTGATGACACTTTTACCCGTACTGCAGGTCTGCAGGTGAAAGGAAGAGAAAAAAGTAGCAGAGAATAATAGCTTCTTATTTGTCAAACATTTCCCACATCTTAACAGTTGATACAAAACTAAATGGCTTGTTTGGAACAATCATGAATCACTATATTTCTCACCAATGAAAACACAATTTATGGTTGACTGGGGGATTATATATCCAGTTTAAATATGTATTTTCACATATCGTAATATGGTAAGTAAAGTAAAGCCATCCCTGTACCAGGCCGTGAAGGGCCAGAGACGTTGAGGGTTCCACATTATCTAGACAATCGGCTCAAAGATGGCGGTAAGGTTGTCAACCTTACGCGCCGGCCGCGCTTTACTCCCCAGGAAAATTATTTAATTAATTCCTGGTACTCATTTCTGTTAGAGGCTTAGTGAACCCCAGGGCCATAGTGCAGCTGGAAGGATTAGGTCAACTGAAAAAAATCCAATGACCTCATCGGGACTTGAACCCGCGACCTTCCGGCTTGTAGCATAGCCCCTCAACCAACTACGCTACCATGTGCCCCCTTTAGTTTTAACAAAACTTTCTCCTACTAATGGCAGATCTACATAATCTGGAAAGGGTGGAGAAGTGGTAATTGTAACAATCTCTATTCCTCGTTCATGGTCAACTTTTTTTTTTTTTATGGTACAGTACTAGCACAGTATTTGTGCCATTCAAATTCTGTTTTGGTAAAGGTAGTTTCTCCTAACGCAGTATCCGTCCTGTCTACTATTTACCATCTATAAGTTATATTCATGTTTGTAAATGTTATTCATCACTATAATAAAATCATAAATTACTTTCAAGGGTTCATTAGCATAGTATGGTATGGAATATTCCTTCATATTGCAGTTATACACAGAAATTATGCATGTTTTGTAATGAGGAAGGAGCTGGAGGTGGTTTGATACCTGATGTGATTGGTTGCTATTATTAAATTTGTTAAGACGATAATGACTGAGAATAAGAACAAATGGGATCTATGAAACTCAGAGCAATTAAAGAGCTCTTGCAATTAGTGAATAAATGTCAATAATGATAGGATTCCTACAAGGACATTAAGAAACTAAATTAACTGGATTTGTCAACAAAGGATGGAGGATTTCCTGTATTGACATTATCGGGAAAGAAAACTTCATGGCACAATTTATATGCTTGTAGAAATTGGTATGATTTCAGCAAGCAAAACTTCTAAAAGTGAGAATGCATGAGAACTGTAAAATGGAGTTACATATATTAGAAAAATATTACCCCTAAACGAAAGTAATAAGGTAATTATCAATGAAGCAATAGAATATTCACACAAAATTTAATAATAATGTACATATCCAGTGTATGTACATTAGCCACACAGACCCACATTAAACTGACGAGAAAAGTACGAGGGTAAGTCAATAAGTAAGTTACAAATAAGTGTACTGATTTGAAAAATGCTTTTATTTCTCAACATAATATCCCTGTACATTGAGGCACTTGTCCCATCGTTTCACAAGTCCCTGGAAACCAGCAGCATAAAATCTTTGGGCTGCTGTCGGGACCAGGCATGTTCAAACAGCATGGCCTACTCCATAATGCATGACAGGTTAGGTTTTCACAAAGTGTGTGCACGATGGGTGCCACACATGCTGACCCCACAACACAAAATGCAAAGAATGGGTCTGGCATTACAGCATCTCAATCACTACCATGATGGGCACTATATGCTAGCCCGAACTGTCACAGGTGACAAGTCTTTGGTTCTCCATTACCAGCCTGAGACAAAGCATGGATCAATGCACTGGAAACATCCTGCATCACCTTGAGGCTGGAATGCGGTGAGCAGTATGCCTTCATGATCCCAGAAGACTGTGCCCATTACTTTCCTGGAGGATGGTGTCACTTTAAACTTTTTTTTTTGGCAGGCGACGCAGGATGTTTCCACTGCCTTGACGCATGCTTTGTCTCGGGCTGGTAATGGTGAACCCAAGATTAATCACCTGTGACAATTCGGGCTAGCATATCGTGTCCTTCATTGTGGTAGCGACTGAGATGCTGTAATGCCAGACCCATTCTTTGCATTTTGTGTTGTGGGGTCAGCATGTGTGGCACCCATCGTGCACACACTTTGTGAAAACCTAACCTGTCATGCATTATGGAGTAGGCCATGCTGTTTGAACATGCCTGGTCCCGACAGCAGCCCAAAGATTTTATGCTGCTGGTTTCCAGGGACTTGTGAAACGATGGGNAAGTGCCTCGATGTACAGGAAGATCATGGTGAGAAATAAAACCATTTTTCAAATCAGTACTCTTATTTAAGTTCTACATCCATTTGTAACTTACTTATTGACTTACCTATGTATTTATCCAGTAAGTTTGAATTTCTCACCTGCAAGTGAATATGGGAAATAAGTTGACAACAGAAACAAAACAAAAAGTTCTATATTCTGCGATATAACAACCATGTAATCCACTGAAAGTCAACTGATGTTTGGAAGAACATGTCACCTTCATCTTCAAGGTAGAGAAATAAGCAAAGCAAAAATTTAGCATGAAGCAGATAGTGAGAAGCTCCCTACCTGGGTCTCTCTTCAATTCTGGTTTTGCAACTAAAATATTCTATGCATTTCTCACCTGCCCATTAACATGCCCTACCACTCCCAGATTTTATGTATCTAATGACATATGTTCAAGATTGCAGACTCTGACGCTCATCATTATATATTTTTCTCCATCTTTCTGTTATTTCCCCTCTCCTAAGCACCTCTTACAAACTAACGGCATCACGGAATCGTGTGAGAACTTCTATGCTTTGAACAATACACAGACTGCTTCTATACAACAAAGCTTGGTCAACGTACTTAGTAACGACAATGTGTGTGATAACATCCCGATGCATGTAACTTCTCTCGTATGATTCTGCATTTGGTAAGTTTTCCAAATATAGCAGTTCATGTTTCAAGTCTGTAACAGAGACAATATACACACTGAAATGCCTACACAACATCCATCAGCAGCTCAAGCAAACCTATTTATCAAAACAAAACTGCTATGTATTGAATACAAAGTTAAGTCAGAAAATATCCCTGATATGTTTGCATCTTTCTTCTATTCTTGTAGCTGGCCTCTCAGATGACTGTGCACATAATTTATTATTGTAGTGACTTATCTGACCTTCACCATTTAGCTGTCTTTCACCACTCGTGACATCAACATTGCCACTCTGTTAATCACATGCATTAACGAATAGCAATCTTATTCATTCGCAGTTTCCTTCATAAAAACACACAAAATAACTGCATTTGGCACAAAACGTATATTGGAATTTCTTATTCAGCATGGTTATCAAAACACAGAGTATTTTCATCATTCAATGAAATGACTTACATTTACGCTTCTTTGGCTTTGCTGCTTCTGAAGGCATAGGACCTATATAACCATCTGATGAATCTTCACTCTCACCATCATATGTGCGCTTCATGCTTTCAGACATGGTGACAAAACTGTAACAAAGTTTTGTAGCATAAAATATGATTAGCTATGTCAAAAACACATATATTAGTACCCATATGTTGAAATACATGATGTCACATGCCAGAAGGTAGCAATCTTCAAAAGATCCAGAATATAAAATCCCTTTGTGTACCCAGTTTCCCTTCATCTGTCTTATCTCGTGATTACTAGGACCATATAAGGCATACATTATATTATGCACAAAATTGTCTATTTTATATTGTGACATGATGATATGGTCCATTGTGAAGCACTGTTATGTTGAGTTCAACTGAAAAAATCTCTGATCATGAGCCTCAAGTGGCTTGGCATGAAGATGAACTGATTGGTGGTAAACTGTCGGTCATGAAGTAACTCTATGACTCTGGCTCTGGTTTAGAAGTCAACAGTTGGAGCAACGAGACAGTTGCCAGGTGGTAACGATGTGAACACGGAAGCAGAGGACATTGCTGGGATATATTACCAGGCAATGGTTAGTGAAGATACAGGAGACTTAGTGTGTGCTGTAGTGAGAAGTAGAGTGTGTGAATTAGTGACAGTGTTAGTTAAAATTTATAAGTGTTCAATAAATCCAATTACCAATCCAAACCCCATGTCTAATCACTAACACATGACAATATTTATGACATTTAGTCAGCCCTAAGTGCTGGCCGCCCTTTACCCCCAAGAATATTCCTGGTACTCATTTCTGTTAGAGGCTGAGTTGACCCCAAGGCCACAGTGCAGCTGGAAGGGTTAGGTCAATTGAAAAAATCCAGTGACCTCATTGGGACTTGAACCCATGACCTTCTGGCTTGTAGCATAGTGCCTCAACCAACTACGTTACTGCGTGCCTGCCTAACTGTGGCAAATTACAAAAAAAGAGTGTAATATCACTTTTTTCGCTTCTAGAATCTAAATTCAGAGATAAGAATAATTTTTTATTTGTTTATTGCAGTACACTATATTTCATCTGTCAATTATGAGATATAAGTGCCTTGTTACAGTTTATGTTGTTTCTGAAGATTCTTACAGCTATACATAGAAGACTGATTCCTGACCTCAGCTCTACAGAGGTGAGTGGTCACCTTCAAGCTCAAAGCTGAATTACAACCCAGGGAATGAGGCCCCAGCACCCATTGCATAAGAGGCTGGATAAACCCAAGAGCCAGCCTGGACCGTCTGGACATCATTGGACAGAGAAAAACCTCTTGCCTCGGCTGGGAATCGAACCTTATCTATTCTAGAATACTAAACGTTCCTTTTCTGTCAATTACAGTGATAATCCATAACCAGCTGTATTACACGTGGAAAATACGAACACAAGCCCTTGACATCCATTTCAATTATAATAACTTTACACCTAAAAAATCAACATGATTATCACTGCGATCCCGGTGTATGAAAAGAACAAGAAATCAACAAATACAGCAAATTAACCTGGAGATCCACCTTTTCCTGATTTGAAGTCACATTTACAATCGATGTAATGAGTTTACCGTAACATTTTCACACGTTCAGGCACTGATTTTTATATAGAGCAGAAGACATGTGTCATAAAAATTCAAGTGTGTTTTAACAAATTTTACAGTCGCATAAAATTCGTATGTGATGAGTCGTTCCACCTGACCACAATAACACATCGCTCCTTCCACCACGGTTTCATCGGCCTCAACCACCTCAACTAATTTACTTCCGACCCTACCGACACCATAACAACCGTGGAACTGTGACCACGGTTACAAGCAATTGGCTTACTACGCTTACAACGGCTGCGAGCGCGGAGAGCATCGCGATCATCGTGATGACCTTGAACACCTTGCTGTTCAGCGACCAGTGGTTACAGACGGGACGATCATTGGCGATCGATGGATATTAGATAGGCTACTAATCGGTAACCGGTGAGCATTGCAGACATGAATTAAGCCTCGCCCAGACCAAGGCGAACGCGAACACGAACGTGATCTATCTAGCATCCGGACGTAAATGCAGCGACACACACCAGAGAGCAGGCAACCCGCGCGACAAGGTTCAGCGGTTAGGCGGGAAGATTGCACATGGATTGCGCGAGCGCGCATGTAGTGGCCATTTGATGCGTTTGGAGACTACGTGCGTTTTCATTGTAACTTGGGCAGAATAGATCACTGTGGTCGCGGTGCAAGGGCCAAGAAGGCCCACCTCTTATACATTCATTGTAAAGCTTTTAAATCATGGATTCAGAAAACACAGAAGGGCTCATATAAGCAGTTGAAGCGAGTGAAGTACTGAATAATATGACTCTGTACCAAAATGCCGAATGCATTCTCGACTGTGCGTCTAGCACGGCATAACCTCTTGTTGTAATTACCTTTGATTTCATCATTTCTAGAACATCTGTATGGAAATGGCCGCATCAAGTACGGACGAACCGGAAACTCATCATCCCCAATCAGGACTCATGGTGTAGGCTCATTCTGTCCATGCAACGGTCTAGCTCTTGGAACATTCAACATACCACGATCGATTCTTTTTCCCTTTGATGAAGCTTAAAAAATGCCACCATCACTATTTTTTCCGTTCCCCCAATATCAATACACGTAAAATTACAGTCGTGATCAGCAGTTGCCAGGAGCACGATTGAGTACGTCTGCAAGTAATTGAAGCATATTGAGCCACTTTTTTGGGGGCGTTCTATCTGCACTGTAACCGAATCATTGAAATCCTTCCCCCACTCTTTTATTTCAGTAGTTTATAAAGTAGACAGTAAGAATTACTAAGAAACATAGGTTAAGACACAGACAGAACAAGCAGATAGACCGAACTTGCGCGGACAAGGACATCTGTTAGTTCTTGCGTCCAAGCATTTGGCGTTGTTTTGAAAAGGGCAGAAATGATACTTCAAGGAACCCCACTGAGTTTCTTTAGAAACTGAGGAGTTGACTTACAGCGGCAAGCCACTTTGAGAATTCGAGCAGTGGCAGTCGCAACGAGCCACTAGTCAAAAGTGGGAGTGCCAGGAGATCATTAGCGACCTCTCATAAGTCGCACAGCTGTCAATTTCGCTATTTGGGATTTTAGGCTGAAACTACTTCTAAAACAATCGGTCATTGGCCGGAACAAAAATTAAGCCAACTCCTCTTATCTGAATCAACCTATCCGGGAATTTAGGAGGAGGAGAGAAGAGGCGGATACAATTCAGTTAGGACCTCTGGCTCGGCAGAGAGTCCAGTTTTAAGATTAAGAGTCTGCTACAAAACTTTGAACTTGGCGGAGGCAAAACCCGCGATTATACTTGCGTGTTAAGCTAAATAATTTGAGCAAGTGCAACACCGGCTGCTTGGAAGCCGAAACTAGGCCTGATAGTGTAGATTTAGACCTCCGAGTGACTGTGAGAAAACAATAAAGTGTTCCAGTGGTACAGTGCATTGTGTTGGCCAGAAGTGCTTCACCCTCACTTGTCCGAGCCTGACCCTTAGCCGACCTGAGGAGAGACTCATCGCCAGGAGCTAGTCAAACCCATCGCCAGCTTCCACCAACTCACGCCTTCCCTCCTTTATAATGAATCGCAAACCGCACCTAGCTGTTTGCTGGCGCCCATAACATCAGGTTCTACCCTGAAATTCCAACCCCCGTAATCAGCAACGGAAGGAGGAAGCGGTGGAGCCGGAAGAATCGGTGGAGCCTGGTCAAGCCGGAACCAGCCACGCCCCAACAACTTCAACGGAGGCAGCACCAGGTAGGGCAGTCAAAGTGACGCCGAACATAAGGCGAACAAGACCGACGGTAAGCAAAAGTGGCAACCACCTTGTGGGCAAGGAAGCCTCAAGGGAGGGCGGTTAAAGCACATTCTTCCCATCAATGCTTCCAGAACAGTTGGGGAACTGTCATTTTTCATAAAATCCTGTGATATTTTCTTCCCAAATGTCTTGTGTTTGTTGTGGAAGATATACATGTTTTAGTCTTTTCCATATGGCTTTACACACTTCAGTCACTATTGCACTGACAGTACAATTCCAGTAGTTTTGAAATGATCCCCTGTGGCCAAGAACCTGAAAGATAAACTGCGGGTTAAAATGAAGTATAAATAAAATTGTTTTAAGTGGAAAGTGGTAATGGTATTAGGCTGGTTATTTCTTTGTGTTTGTCATTTCAGGTGAATGAGTAGAGAAGAAGTGGAAAGGTCTAAGAGACCGCTACGCCAAACACCTTCGATCGCTCAAAACTACAACCGGACAAGCTGCAAAGCAACTGAATCGGTACAAATCCTGGCCATGGGCGAATCAGATGTAATTTCTGAAACCATATATTGAATATGCAACAACAGAATCTAACGTTTCTTCCACTGACCTTGAAAGTGAGGAAGATGACGTCAGTCATGAAGATGTAGGTAGCCTTTCAGCCGCAGCACAGGACCACGATGATGCTACACAAAACTCAACAGAACCAGGAAGTCTGGATACCAACACTGTACAGAGAAATGAACGCAAGAGAAACAAAACGCCCTCAACTGCATCTGGACCCTCTAATATGGACAAAATAATTTCTTTTCTGCAAAATCGAGGCCCTCAAGAGCAAGATGAGGTAGACCTTATGTTCCTCAGCTTTGCCAGAACAGTAAAACGATTCTAACCACAAGGAAAAGCACTGGTTAAGGCTGAATTAGCACAGTATATAATGGAACAAGAATTAGCTCATTTGCATGAAACTAATGAAGTTATATCTTCCCGAAGAGAAACCCTGTCTCCTGCACATACTGAGACATGCTTAGATGAATTAACATAAGGTGTACCTCAAAGCTACTGCAAGACGCTGAACTGGATCAATGCTACTTCTATAGTTTGTGTTCAGTTTTGTAATGTCATTTTTTATTATCTCTAGCAGCTCGTCAAAACACTCAAAATTCATCCTAAATGTTGTGTAGAATCTTTCTTCATCCTCCGTCAACTGATGATACAAATTATTAAACTCTCCTTTACCTTCTCTTGACATGTTGATTTCATACACCCATAATCTTCTGCGTCCTTTCCTGTAAGGAAAAAGGTATAGTTTGGTTGGTGAGAAAAATCTAGATATTATGTGGTGTGTAAGAAATAAAAAAGACAAATATTAATTATAGATATTACTCTATATAAATGCAATCATATTTATACATATATTCATATATATATATATGAAGATGAGATGCGTTACTTACCTTTCCATCTCTTCATCATCGTCCAAGGCTACTGCTATAAGAAGACCTTCTTCTTCAAACTGAGAGGCAACCTTAATGACTCGACAAAGGCTGAAAAGCGACTGAAACTGGTTTCCGCAGAATTTTCACTTGGGTTCGCGTTCGCCTTGGTCTGTGCGCGGCTGTTCGTCAATAGATCGCGTTCGCCTAGGTCTGGGTGAGGCTTTATCGGTCATGCATTAGCGAATCCAATTTCCGTTTCAGAGCAGTTTCAGAGAGTCTTGAACGTCTTGAAATCTTAAATGAAGTATACGCATGCCATCCAAATTATTCACAGAAAATATAGCGTCGCCAACTATCGCTAACCTGAACGCTACTGGTGGGGAAACGTGCACAACATAAGACATCACGCAGTCAATGCCGTCAATGCCAAGAGCTCAGTCGGTAACAAGGTAACTACTAGTAATTGTCCACTCTATTCTCAGCCGAGCAATGAAAAAATTTCTGTTACTTAGCTATATATTTTCAGTCCTACAAATGCGACTGTTGTAAATGGTTCTAATGGTTGCGTGGTGGCTGCCACACTGTCATACTTCATTCACTTGTTCTCATTACTAATACACGTTTTGGCTTTATATGGCCGTTCTCAGGTATAACCTCTTTCATAGTCATTTGCCTGTATTATTCTTTTATAGAGAGTAGCACCAATTAAAATTAACATAAGTCATTAGAGCGGCAGTTCTGAACTGAGGGTACGTGTACCCTGTGCTGTTAATAAGATGATTTTCATTCACTATTAAAATACAAGTTCTGAGGATCTAAAAATTTGACTACTTTAGATTTGTTTCGTTTTGGTCCGTCACACTTAACAGTTACAATTATAAAAGACAAGTCCGTCCAGTGTGACTATTTCAGTTTTCTCACTTGATGATTTACTACCCTTACATGTTTCGATCCATTTGGATCATCTTCAGAGGCACCAAGCACTTTTTTGAAACCACTATCACAACAGTTGTGTATTTGATATGACAACTGTTGTGATAGTGGTTTCAAAAAAGTGCTTGGTGCCTCTGAAGATGATCCAAATGGATCGAAACATGTAAGGGTAGTAAATCATAAAGTGAGAAAACTGAAATAGTCACACTGGATGGACTTGTCTTTTATAATTGTTGACTACTTTCTTTTGTATACCTTTGTCACTCACTCACTCATGGAGCTAAGCCCTTCTTGAGAAGCTGCCAATTGTGCACCAACTCAAGAACTTCCCAGCATTTTATGGAACCCTAAGATTCATTACCATGTTCACAAAAGCCCTCCACTGGTCCCTATCCTGAGCCATATCAATCCAATCCATACCATCCCATCCTATCTCTCTAGGATCCATTTTAATTCACATGCCTAGCTCCAATAGTCTGTTATCTGTTGTCATTAAACTGAAAGCTAAATACAGATTTTTGGGTGCCTCATCCTTCTCTGTTGTGATCTGTGCAGAAAACCATGTGCTAGATTACATGGTATCCTAACTCAGAACATTGTAATATGTTTAAAGATATATCACAGTATTTGTGCAACCATTCTGGCCATGTAATGGGTTAATGCACAAATAATCTTGAGTACTGAATAACAACTATGGCTAAGGAAGCTGAAACTCGTCAGTATTGAGTATAAATGAATTTGAATTCATAAAATATTTCTGGTACTGTAGAAGGTTAAAGGCATATGAGGGTAATAATACCAATAATATGGTTACAAATGTGTTTGATTTTATTCTCTGTTTGTTCCTGAATATTTTGTATGTACATTCATACAGAATCTTCTTCAGGTAACTGAACTGACTCCCATACTGTCAGCCTCTTAACAGGAGTCTTAACCACTTTATGCCAAGGAAAATGGGTCTAGCATCAGAGCTTACGCTTATATAATGTATGACACAAACTCTGTCCTAAGTGCAACAATTTATTGTAGTTCTTTTGTCTTCTTTTCTTCTACGCTACACGTTTCGGCCATAAATGTCCATCATTAGGTGCATTTCTCTAACGTAGCTGTTACACTGCACATAGTTTAAAATTTAAAAACACCAGCTTTCTTAAGTGTTC